TGGTCGGCATATTAGAACATCTTTGGTCTTGATAAAGTGTAACAGACTTGGCAGTGGGGATATTCCTGAGGGGAAGGAAGCACTTGGGGAATGTCAGCACACAGCTATTTTATTAATTCATTCACTGACTTGGTAAACAAAACAGTGCATTCATGGATTATTTTCCTTGGGGGATGCACGCTGCCTCAGGTTTTGGGCACCAAATTGTAGCTTATCATTTGAATCACTGACAGCTTTGATGCATGAAAATGTTGTCTAGTTGTGCAGGTGACAAAGTTGAGTTAAACTCAGCACTTACATAACATCATATTAGGTTGTTGAGGTTAAGCATAACTTTCTGAAAAAGCAAAATAAGTTTTGGAACAAAACCCTTTAATATGGCATCCATGATTATTCTCACTCTGTTTTGCCAAAGGCAGATTTGAAATGCTGCTGTTTTCTGACTATATTCGGTGCATGCTGGCAAGGTTTTCCCATGCTACCTAATGTTTTGGCCAAAATATTGCAGTTTAATTACTGGAACAAACATTTTGTTGGTAGCACATCCATTTTTTTTAAAATGTTGCCTATGTAGGCAGCTATCTATGGCTGTACTCACACTAGGTACAGTTGCCTCGAACCGGGCCAAAGCACGCTTGTCCCCCCTCCCGTCTCCCCCGACGGTCCGCACTCACACCACAAATGGGCCTCGGCACGCTTGCGTCATCGCTGCTGTGCTGTTTAGTGAGAAGTGCTCTCTCACTCAGCAGCACAGTGGAGATTTATTTAGTTATATCGTTTCAGTCGTTTGTTATGCAGTGACATGCAGTCAAATATTTCACCAAACAGTCCTTAGGGATGCGGGGACATGCAGTCAGATATTTTGCCGAACAGATCCGCCACTTTTGGCGCTCATAAACAATCATAAAGCTCTCGTGCTGCAGGAATGAGGTCTGCTGAAGCCGCACAGCTGTCGTGCTGTGAGGAATTCTCGTCTTTAATAAACTACGGCAGTTTGCGTTCACTGAACAGTAAGAATGATTAATAAATCCATATGAAACAGCCCCTTAAAAGTCACGTCTCGCTTTCAGTTTCAGCCCAAGTGAACCGCGCTCAGAAACACCTCTTCCAACCGGGCCAGGGCCGGCCAAGTGAACCGTGCTTGAGCCCGATTCAGCGCACTCACACTTCTCAAACGATCCAGGAAACGGGCCTGGGCATGGTACGGATGGCATAGTGTGAGTAGGCCCTATGTCTTGGAACAGAGCCCCATTCAGCACCTACAATTTAACATCTTATTAGGTGGTGGAGAGACTAAACATACATTTAATTTGGATTGGATTTTAAGGACCGATGAATCAAATAAGTGAAAAGCGTCCTTTTATTCTGAAGTGACGAAGTATTTTTTGAACAACCTTTCAATATAGTGGTCATGACAGGTCTCACTCTGTTGTGCCCAAGATGGATTTATCCTGTTTGGTATGCTGCAGTACTCTCTCAATTTGTCTATCATCTTGGGGCAACTCACACCGCTATTGATTCTTCCCACCCGCCTTTACATTTTGGCCAAAACTTTAAGCTTACCTTCTGGAACAATCCTTTTTTGTGGGTAGGAAACCATTGATGCTTTAAAATGTATTCTGGCTAAGGTGTGGAGGTGCTCTAGGATGGATTAAACTTTTGTGCTGTTATACACAAAATACACCATACAAGCTTTTTCATCATTTATGATCATTGATGCGTCCATCATCATCAACAGGAGTACCACCACTTACCTCTGGTGTGGACAGCAGTCAAAACCAATCTGAAGTTCTCGCACCGAGAATAGTTTGTGAGATACGGTTGGCAACATCAAACCTTTGTTTGATGTTCAGTGGAAATCCCCATAAGACACCTGCAAGAGTCCTCGACGAGGTTATAACACAGAAAGCAACAAAACAACAGAGAAAGATAAGGTGGGTAAAGCCAATGGGCAAATCCCAATCAGCCGAAAGCATAACAGCAGTGAAAGAGGAAATCAGAGGGATGAAACAGGAAATCTATTATCCATGAGCTGTTTGAAATCTCAGTCTCTGCCGATGAACCTCAGTCCCAGATGGAAACTCTGTGTTCTTTTATAGTTTGCTGAAGCAGAAAAACACCTTGAGCTTGTGCTATGAAGAGCTCAACCAAGGTAAGGCAACGTTAAGACCCGTATTTCTCCTTCCCCAGCCTTTGACCGTACCCATAAATTTGCAATTCTCTGGATGTTTTGCATTTAAATGAGGTACACTTTAACGGGAACAGTTTGTGAACGTTTTAAAAGAAACATAAAAAGGATGGAGCAGCAAAGGCTTGGATTATTTACTCTTGCTTGAGCCCGTCATATTCCCCTCATCCGGAAGGCTTCCCAATTACAATTACCACCTTACCTTTTAAGTAAACTGCGAATTTCCTTGGAAAAATCCTCGGTTTTTTACGTCTCAGGCTGGGAACAAACTTGCCATGACAGTGAGGAGTCTTCAAACGTCCCACCACAGCAAGCCTGCATTACGTGTGCAAATACAGGTCTTACTGAACAGAGACAAACCCATGAATAATGCAACCGACTCACTGCACCTGGAGGAATGACAATGAGATTCCTGCTTTTTTCCGCCGTTATGATCCTTATTAGAGGTCCAATAGGCTGTCATTGAGCTTAATCTGTAAAATACACACACTGCATATACATACATTAGATCCATCTACAAATCAAGACTCCTATAGAATATATGCAACTTGGTTTGTCGGCATATTTAGACAGTTAACTTGCACAGAATAAAGCAATTGGTTGTACTGTATACAAACATGCGGTAACCTTTTAGAGAAAAGAATGCAATGAGCTGTTGAATCGAAACGTTCTCGCTGGAAATGTTTATTAGACAGGAAGTCATTAGAATGTAAATGTGTTAGGCGCTTTCTCGACCTCATTTTCCCTACGCTCGCAAAATACATAAATATTTGACATTTATCATCTCAATTTGCTGTTCAAACATTCAAAGCTGTAAATTTGTTATAGCTATTCTTCTCATGTTAAAAACACGTTATGTACAATAGACAGGATATTGCATTTGGCGTAATTACAACAATCTCGTTATTTCATTTACAGTTCTGATTTTTTCTTGAATGTCATCATCGTCTGGCATTCGCAGACAGATCCGAGTCTCATAAAATGTGACCATAGAAAGGAGAAAGAAATCAAACTCTAGTTAATTTGAGAATTAATAAGACATATAAAATAAACAAGGACATTGTACTGCGTTAGACAATCACATTTTCCTGGCCTCTGCTTTTATATTTGGCAGAATTTCATTCGAAGGGCCTAACAGAATCGCAAAGTTGGCAACTAATGAACTTAGCATGCAAATGCACAAACATTCCTCAACACTTCTGCAGATTTGACACTATTATGCACCATGTGTGGCATCTGCAGATGCATTTATGCATGTTTAGGCATGTGTTGTCGTTACTCAAACAGGTTATATAGATGTTCACTCGACCTGTGCTTTGTACAGGTGAATGAGGTTGTGGAAGGTGTAGTCCAGAGGTGCCAATCCAAATTCGAATGGAATGCATCAGCTCTGATTAAACGTGAACAGGAATGGCAGCCCTTATTGCCCAAAGGCAGCTCCAGTCTCTGTAATGCCCTAGGTAGATCAAGTACCTTTCATATGAAGCTCTATTACCAGACTATATGACTTTGTCTCACTATCTTTCAGACGACCAGCAGCAGTACAGTAACGCAGTGCTGTAAAGTGATCCGGTGCACCATAAGTCCTTAACAGTGAAGTCTATTACAGTGGATGTCTAACGCTCCATTTGCATCCTAATAAAGCATTTCCGGGTTGAAGACATCCATTTTCCTTACAGCCCACCTGTTCCTTTGGCACAACACTTGGCAAAACTCCATGAAAGTCTCTATCCATTTACATTGCGTAGGCAAGTGCTCTGTATGGAAACCCTTGTTGGGAATTTCTGGGACCACCCACACAGATTCTAATCATCCAGACCTCGAACTCCAAACTTAAAGAAACTATCAATGCTCAGAAAGCCTGTATAGACTCGCCCACGACTGAGCTCAAATTACACATATGGATCGGAGGTATAACTTCTGATTACACTTACAATTCTCAATACACTTATCTTACCAATGAGAGCTCTTTGTGTGCGGATTTTTTAGCAATAAGAGTAGAGACTTGGTTTTAAGAAAGCAGCAGGTTTTCTAAAGGTCTATTCACACCGAGCGAAAACTGACTGAGAAATGACATATAAGCCTCTTTCTTCAACCGCAGATTGTGCATAGTCCAGCTCACGGGTGGCATTTGGAGCAATTATTTAACTGGTGTACTGGCACTGGACATACTGTAGGAGAAGAAAGTGCGACAGATGTGTTCTGAAAAAGACAAAACGTTTACATATACAGTTGAAGTCAGAATTATTAGCCCCCTTTTTACATTTTTTTCCTTTTTTAAATATTTCTCAAACGATGTTTAACAGTGCAAAGAAATTTTCACAGTATGTCTGATAATATTTTTTCTTCTGGAGAAAGTCTTATTTGTTTTATTTTGCCAAAAATAAAAGCAGTTTTTGATTTTTTAAAAAACATTTTAAGGTCAAAATCATCAGCCTCTTTAAGCTATTTTGTTTCAACAGAACAAACCATCGTTGCACAATAACTTGCCTAATTACTCTAACCTGTCTAGTTAACCTCATTAACCAAGTTAAGCCTTTAAATGTCGCTTTAAGCTGTATACAAGTGTCTAAATATCTAGTAAAATAATATTTACCGTCATCATGGCAAAGATAAAATAAACCAGTTTTTAGAAATGAGTTATTAAAACTATTATGTTAAGGAATGTGTTGAAGAAATCTGCTCTCCGTTAAACAAAAATTGGGGAAAAATAAACAAGGGGGGTAATAATTCACGGGATTTAATAATTCTGACTTTAAACTGTATATTTGAAAATGAATTGGGTAAATGAAAACTGGAACACTGTTGAAAACAAAAGGGATGAAAGTGTAAACAGTTCCAGTTTGTGAGCCACTACAGACATAAACCCAATTTATGCAAGCCACATAACAACATGTGCATATATAACAAATTTGTATAAATATTAAATCGCAGGGAATATGAGGATTTGTGCAAAGGCACAGTTTTATCACCTCATACACAAAGAACTGAATAAAATGCAAATTAATACAATAAATATGATCTCCCCCACACTTTATAAACTCAAAAGCTCAGATTAACAAGGCTGTACCTTTTCTCTAAAACGACTTCTATAACGTGTTAAGGTAATATTTCACCTCACATTTTGTCTTGCATTCAGCGTGAATAGGCCTGAAGGAAAATGCAATCCTGAACAATTTGTGCTGACATTAATATGCAGAGGACTTCTAGCACCTTTTGTCTATATAAAAAGTACAACGTAATCGTGCATTTCTCATTAATAAAAAGACTCTTAAGGCAAAACATTTTGTATCATCGACCACTATAAATACGCACTAGCACTGATAAATCTATGAAAAAATCTGAGAAAATACCAATGTACTAAGATCTGTTTAGAGGAGCTGGGATAGACTGACAAGCCATAGCTCTAATTTCGGACCTAAAAAGTGCACAAAATGCAATCATACCCCTTGTCTCTCACTCTAAAATATAATATACAGTTTGCAATCATAGACCCAGAGTGGTGGTTAAGTGTAAAAGTGCAAAGGAGGGGTTATAATCTGAGCATTGGCACAGCGTTAGAGCTGCGAGACTTTCCTGGGAATGGGTCGAGGTCTGGGAAACTGCTCGGGTCGCCGGGGCTCAGTGTCTTGCCTTCGGATCTGGTGTGGTTTGGGTGGGATTGGCGGTGCGTCGACGTTTGGAGGAAGGGATAAACTCGGAGGAAGTGGAACCTGTCGTCGTGGATTGTTGCGCTCATGTATGCTGTAAGGAGGCGGAGTCTTGTTTTCTCTGCGAATGAGCTCATCCGAGCCACTAGAGGCGGAGTTTGGGAGGACGTGGTCAGTGGGTGTGTTCTCAGTCCCAGAGGCTTCAGAAACACTGCAGCGACTGAGAGATGAGATACCGCTGCTGTAGCTTCCGGAAAGCACCGGCGAATTAGACACCAACCCTGTAGACTGGCACTCTGTGGGAGACGGTGTGAATGGCGGCACGGAGGTCTGTAAATAAAGAACACAAAGCTCTAAGCCACAATGTTGTTAGCGGAAGATAAGTTGCCTGCTTTTACTAGTAGGACGCCTTAATAAAGAAACCAGCAGCTGCAACAGAAGCAAAGTCCCACGCCGCGGAGCTAATCTGTACACTGGAAGGCCAAAGCACAATATTCTGCCTCTATTATTGAGGCAACACTGTCTTTTTTCATTATGGAAATAATTTCTGAGCAATTAAATCCACGGCTAAGACTGCAGCTGTTTCTAGGACTTCATTTCAGTGAATGAAAACGCATTTAGTCTGATTGCACTCTGGAGAGAACTTCAAACACAACATTTCCGCTAGGATGATTCAACTTTGTGCACCAATTACAAACAAAATAACAGTAGAGAAACAGTGAGATTACATGTATGTGCGCTTGTTGGTGTTATTTCCGTGCAGTATATATAGATAACGTTTTTCTGATCTAAACTAATGACATGTTTACAATGATTTAAACACGAGTTCCTCTATGTTTAACACTAATATTCATACATAAATCATTTAATTTGAAGTGTAACAACATTTAAACAAATCCATTTAATATAATTATGTTGGGCGTCACAGTGGCGCAGGGGTAGACCTGATTGCCTTACAGCAAGAAGGTTGCTAGTTCGAGCCTCAGCTGGGTCAGTTGGCATTTCTGTGTGAAGTTAGCATGTTCTCCCCATGTTGGCGTGGGTTTCCTCCGGGTGCTCAGGTTTTCCCCACAAGTCCAAAGACATGTGGTATAGGTCAATTGGATAAGCTAAACTGTCTGTAGTATATGTGTGTGAATGAGTGTGTATGGATGTTTCCCACACTCTCAGAAATAAAGGTACACGAGCTGTCACTAGGGTGGTACCTTTTGAAAAGTTACAAATTTGTCCCTAAAAGGTCTATAATAATGCCTTAAGGCAGGCATGTCCAAACCTCGGTCCTGGAGGGCCGGTGTCCTGCAAAGTTTAGTTCCAACCCCAATCAGACACACTTGGGCTAGCTAATCAAGCTTTTCTACGCTTTCTAGAAACATCCTTGCAGGTGTGTTGAGGCAAGTTGGACCTAAAATCTGCAGGATACAGGCCCTCCAGGACCGAGTTTGGACACCAACATGGGGAGAACATGCAAACTCCATATAGAAATGCCAACTGGCCCAGCCAGGACTAAAACCAGCAACCTTCTAGCAGCACGTTTTAGACATTTAGACATATATTAAAGACTTAAATTCATATTTCAGAATATAAGTACATGCAATAACCTGGACCAGATGCTGAATTCTCTCTATATTCATGTATGTATGTGTGCGTGTTTCATGCTGTAAATCTTTAACCATGACTCCATTTCTGGGCCAAACAAGCGTACACAGGTTACACATCCACTTTCCGACCCACTGCCTGCACATCCTTCTGAAAATCCACCCAATTTCCAGCTGAGATCTCCACAGATTTCAGCATTGATGATTTCCAGAAAGATTGGATTTCTAGGAAGGCATCTTCACTTACTCTCTGAACGTCAACTATGTTTTCTGCCCTCCAGAGGTTGGATTTTAGAGCTTAATACAGTAATTAGAGCGTTTTGTTTTCTGAATGGATGATGAATCAATACATGGCATGAGATGAAAATTCAAGGAAACAGCGGAGGAATGCAATTATCAACATGAAATGCTAAGTGCAGACAGAGTTTTGAGAAGCCATTAGAGCTGTGCTGCTTTTTTACTCTGAATGCGCTTTCATGTCAAATCTGAATACACTCAAAATAAAAGCAGCATGAATGTGCATTGATAACTGCAACCTTATCAAGGTCTCTGACCCTTCTTTGACTATTATGTGCTCTAAAAAGAAAAGAAAATGGAGTGATTTCTTGTACTCTAGAATACGATAACTTCATCTTCTGTAAAGCTCAGTATTAAATAAAAAGTTAGATTGAAATTAGAGGAAAACGTTTAATTTTGTCATCAATGAGGATATTTACGATTCTAAAGCTGGCTAAGAAGGCAATTCTGATAATTAGGTAAGAGATACAAAAAATGGGTTGGTGACAAATTTACATAATATAAAATTTATACAAAAAAAAACAAGTTTATTAAAAAAAAATTCACATAAAAGGATTTCAAAAAGTGTCTTTAAATTGGTAAAAGTGTTTAAAGTGGTAAAAGCTTACAAGAAGTGCTGAGAAAATGAGTGCTGATACAAATTGGCATAACTGTTGCAAAATCTCCAATAGCTTGATATAAGTCTGTGTTACCTGTGCTAGTGTAACAGTAAGAGTTGGTGCTGCATAATATTGTAAAAAAATTGCACTACAATATTTTGTTTTTTTGCTATATACATATATTGTGATACGAATATAATTACACAAGATGACTGTTTAAAAAAAAATCATAATTTTACATTGTTTTAATTTTGTTGGGCAGCACATCTGCATTAGGGATGCACAATACATCGGTGGTCATATTATTATCGGCTGATGAATGCTATTTTTTAAAGTTATCAGTCCAATTTCAAAACTAAGCGATATCTTTAAGCTGATAGATTACGAAATTGTACAGAACTGCCTTCCTCGTGCATGCGTGGGTGTAACTTGTTTAGACTTGTCCAGTGTACTATAGCGGAGCTTACCTCTCACTGTTTATTCCTTCAAAGTTCGTCCTTTCTTTGTGTGGTATTGCTGTGAGTTAATAATCAGTAAGTAACCATATTCCTTATAAATATAGATTTATTTGATAGAATGTCATTGTGTAATTTGGTTTTAATCGCCTCAGGATAAATATAACATATGCAAACATGATAGAAGCGATGCACATATGCTAAACAACTCATTTGGTTGTTTGTAATCTAATATGATTGTTTGTTCTTGTCAATGCGTTGCTTGCCATGTGTTGTTGATGTAAGATTGTATTCAGTTTGATCGGCATGTTTATAATGATTATAACAAGTGCACGTGTTGGCTTTCAGCATGCATGCACGCAAATCTGCATAAAGTATACAAAATGATACAAACATACACAAAATAATATCATTTAAAATACAGATGAAAACAATAGAACAAAGATAAAAAAAAACAACAACAATGGCTTTCTCCTGAGAAATAGAAATTCAATAATCAAATGTAAAATTACAGGGTCTTCATTGTTTGGATGGATGGATGGATGGATGGATGGATGAAGTAGGTTTAGTTGTCTTTGATTAGGGTTAGAGATCAACTCTGCAGGTAGGTAGATCTCCAGGAACAGGGCTGAGCACCACTGCTTTAGAATGTCTTATGCCCAAATGGTTGAAAATCAGAGAGTGCCTAAACTCTGACCTGGACGGCTGGTTTCCTGCATATTTTAGTTCCAACCCCAATTAAACACACCTGAACCAGCTAATCGAGCTCTCTCTAGGTATACAAAAACTTCCAGACAAGTGTGTTGAAGGAAGTTAGAGCTAAATTATGCAGGACACCGGCCCTCCAGGACCGGGTTTGGACACCATTGGTTTAAATGAACTCGAAATCTCTTGAGATCCTGTGATATGACTATTGCAGATTTGTACATTGCACATATTGATGCTCAAACGATATATTGTGCAGCCTTAGTAAGAGTCTTGATTTTATATGCATTATATCAATAGACATTAATAATTACTAGCATGCCCTATGAGTAGAATGCCCCTTTAATTCAAGTTATCAAAGCAAAAAACAAACCAAAAACTTTTTTTGGCCAAATAATATCCCCATATAAGTATGGTCTATTAGCACAAGTGTAATCATAAACTTTATACAGATTTTAAAGCACAGTTAAACTTAAATCAAGCCCATATTGAGCGAGTTACATTTCAGTCGCAAAATTTCTGCTTTGCCAATAAAATTAACTTAAAACAGAACATGTCGCTCCTGAATTAATCTGATTTTGAACAAATCATTTGATCAGTGATCCATTCATGCTTGTTCATTTCTAAATGAATCATCCAGATTAATTTTTTGAAGCACGAGTCGCCACCTACTGGGGGATTTATTGTCATATTTATTTATCCACAACAGGCCTAAACCAGCATAAAAACACACTCAGCAAAACATTGTTTACAGCCTCCAGACACTTCCGCAAACATCCAGAGCAGCAAACACATCAAAGGTCAGTTGAGCAAACAGCCAGACAGCAGATAAAGGTCATACCTTCTGAGGCGAGCGGGACGTCGACACCGGGGACTGAGAGCGGGTCGTCCTGGCAGGAGATCCTATTAGAGGACACAAAAAGTCAATCTTCTTCACTTGATCCCGTAAACACGCTCGAGGCTGTCTGTTAGTCAGGGAAATGCACTGCCAAGGTTAGCCGGCTAATGCTAAACACTTTAAGCATTCAGTAGCAAGACAACATGGAGATGTGTGGAAGGAAAACAATCAGATATTTCTATGATCATATTTCAGATATTTTTATGATGCACTTCTTTCCCTCTGGAGGTTATTTTGTTTATTTTTTTTTATTGACAGACCCTTTCTATTTAACAGGCCAATTTTATGTACAGTATGTATTACCTTATTAATATTATTACGTTAAATGACCCAGTACTTTGGGAGTTATGTACTCTGTAATAATTACTGTAAATAAAGTGAAAGCTTAACAATTTATTACATTAATTTAAAGGAAATATATGTCACAATACTCCAACAGTTACAAATATGAGTTGCTACTAAATAAAATAATACTAAATAAAATAATATATAAACAAAACTACTAAATACAGAGGTTATAAAGTATAGTACAAATTAGAGTCAAAATTATAATTGTGAAAAGTTACAAAATATATTATTATAATAATAGCAAAAAGACATTAAGATTACAAATAAATACACTATTTATAATTATCCAAGTAAATATAAATAGTATACAAGTAATAAAATAATACAGAAACAAAATAATAGTTCTAAAAGCTACAATAACAAGCAATAAAAAGCTACAATAACAAAAACATGTTAATTAAATAGCTTTACCAAAAAGCAAAACATTAGTTGTAGTCACAGTTTTTTTTTGAAAGTTAACAATAATAAATAATAATTGTAGCTTATTGTTAAGATTAATATGAAAATGCATAAATACATTTTACAAATGAGTGAGTGAATAAGTAAAAATGTGCGAATGAATAAGTTGATGAGTGAGTAACTGAGTGAATGAAAAAATTAAAGGAGTGAGTGAGTGAATAAATGAATGAGTACGTAAAAGAATAAAGTGAATGATTGAATGAGTGAATGAATGATTGAATGAATGGAGTGAGTAAATGAATGCATAAATAAGCAGATAAATGAGTGTTTGAATGAATGAATGAATTGAGTAAATGAGTGAATAAATTAATGAGGAAGTGAATATGTGTGTGTGTGTGTGTGTGAATGTGTGAGTAAATTAATAACTAAATGGAGTGAATGAATAAATAAGTGAGTGAATTAATCAATAAATGAATGAATGAATGGAGTGAGTGAGTAAATGATTAAGTAAATGAATGAGCAAATCAATATGTAAAAGAATGCAATGAATGAATATGCAAATGATTGAATGAATGAGTAAATAAATGAATGCATAATAAGCAGATGAATGAGTGATTGATTGATTGAATGAATGACTGATTGTGTGCATGAATGAGTTAATAAATAAATTGAGTGAATGAATGGATGAGTGAATGAATAAGTAAATGAGTAAGCGAATGAATGAGCGAATGAATGAATAAATGAATGGAGTTAGTGGATGTGTGAATGAATAAATGAATGGATGAATAAATTAATGGAGTGAGCAAAGTAAGTTAGTGATTGAGTGAAAGTGAATGAATGAGTAAGTAAAATGAGTTAATAAGTAAATGAATAAATGAGTGAATGAACGAACAAACGGATGAATGAATTAATGAATGAAAGAATGAATGAATGAACGCACAAACATGCAGAAAAGAGAAAGTGCATCAGCGTCTAAAAGGAAATGAAGCAGTAATATGCGGAGTGAGGATTAAAGAGCCGTCATGCAGTTTAAAGACACAAACCCTGTCAGAAAGCTCATCAAGACAGATTCTAAACAAAAGACCCGCTGTTAGATGATGTTATTTCATCATTATATAAACGCTCAGTTAAGAAAGAAAGTGCGACCAGCCGTCCTCATAATACACAGAGAAAGGAGACTGGAGAGCAGCAGAGAAGACGACCTAAGAGTTAAAAGACTCAGATATCCGCTGGTTACCTGAGTATGGTGGCCTAGGAGGGACAGGGGGGCACTTTCCATTAAACTCAGACAGCGGCATGTCTAAACTCCAGCTACTCGGTGCAGGCTTCACAACTTTTACACACAAAACATGCAATTCAGACACATTCAGTCAAAGCCACTCGAAATACAACAAGCAGTCATGGAGATAATCTGGGTGTGATGGACTAGGATTGGAACATATGCACACTCAAACAACAGAAAATGTCAAGTAAGGACATACAATGGTGTCTGCTTGTTTCAATGGTTCATGAACAGATATTTGTAAGTCATATATTGGAAAAACATCCAAATATGCAGTATCCACAAATTTAATTTGCGAAAAATAAACTACCAAACAATTAAAACACCGATTATGAGAAACAATATCAACATGGACAAAACAAAAAAAATAAGAAGTTCTAAAAAATACTGTCAAAAAGTATTAATTGTGAAAAAGCAGTACAAAATTTGTAAAACTTTCAGTTCTTTTCACTTTAAATTATATACACATTTTTAATTTAGATTTATTGCATACATTTCCACAATTGCTAACAGATATCTGGCACACAGAGGTTATTAAATTGGACATGTAAAACAAAAACATTTGAGAATTCAAAAAGCTCCTTCAACATACATTTAACTGACTATGGCTATGTTCACACTGCAGGCAAATGTGGCCCGAATCGGATGTTTGTGACTCAGGTGATGACATTGTGAACAGCCCAAACCGCATGGAATCTGATCTTTTCAGGTCAGATCTGTGCCACTTTCATATGTAGTCTTAAATCAGACACAGATCTGATGTTTTGCAATGCGACCCCAGTGTGAACACTTATGTCGGATTTCATGTGACTTTTACATAATCTTTGAGCGCCATCATTCTGTGCTGTAAACATTACCTACCCCTCAGCAGCAGTAGAATGGCACACAGGGCAATTTATTCACCACAGAAAGTTGGTTATTCATGTTGAAAAAGATATTGAAGGCATAACTGGTGCTTGTTAACTAATCTGGTTCACGATTGTGGCACAGGTTAATCGCGAAGCCGAAAAGAGTCGAGGGTGTTGCGGATAGGGGATCCGTGTGCAAAGGAGAACTTTCTCTCCAAGAAAAAAAAAAGGGTAGGTGCTCGAGCACCCAAACCCCTGCTTCTGCACTTGTCTGCTGTTTATACCAATGTAAAATTAAATAACTCTGCAAACGGAGATAAACTAACTCCACCTTAGCTCAGTCTGCAGCTGCTCATTAACCCTTGATGAGTTCACTACACTGGTGATCAATGCGCCACGCACCGCGGTTGTCATAAATCACAAATGATCAGTGTATTTATCACAGGAGACTTATTTTAGGTCTTAAATGCCGAAATACACATTAGTAGTAGCAGAACAACCCTTTACCGTTCATGAAATACACCACGGTTGTCTGTGAAAAGGGTAATAATCATATAAGCATGATCTGACAACGTGCTTACTCATGAAGCACACACAGGTGCATAATTAGACATTTTGTGCTCTTCTTAGTGTATACTTTTGCGCATGCGGGTCAGTTTAGGACAGACGTGACCAACCCTGTTCCTGGCGATCGACCTTCCTGCAGGTTTCAGTTGCAACCCATATCAAACACAGCTGCCTGTAATTATCTGTGCTGTTCAGGTCCTAATTAAGGTCCTAATAATTAATTGGTTCAGGTGTGTTTGATTAGGGTTGAAGCTGATCTTTGCAGGAAGGTCGATCTCCAGGAGCAGGGTTGAGCACCACTGGTTTAGGACAATGATCTGTTCACACAGCCATGCAAAAAAATCAGATCTGAGAAACAAATCAGATTTGAGCACTAAGCCTGGCAGTGTGAACGGAGCCTTAGAAACTTTGCAAGTACATCTTACACTAACCCTAACCCCAACCTAAGAGTCTACTTATAACCTAATGAGAATTAGTTGGCATGTAGATGCAATGTAGCTTCAATTTAACAAATGGACCATCAAAATAAAGTGTGACCCTTTCGGATTAAATAAATAGTAGTAGTTACTAGTAAAAACATTATTAGATAAACGCGTATGAAAGAAGTCACACTATGAGGAAACAACAAAATAAAAATATCACAAAACATCCTCAACATATTTTGGTCAGCTACATCAAGCCTAAGCCAGCTGGTGGACCTGTTGTCTGGTTCAGACTCGGCTGTCGGTCAGCATCAGATCAAACAAACACTGGACACTCACCTTTATCAGGGCTGGAGATGTTGGGGTCACTGCGGGGCAGAGAGGAGTCACCCGCAGGGTGTGGAACAGGCCTCTGTCAAAAGAATCCAGGCAGAAATGAACACAGTCAGTGATGGAGCTTTACTAATATCTTTCAAATCTGAAGATTGGGTTTGACTCATGATCTCTACAAAACACCTGCATGGTTTGAGCATAGTTTTTTAGGAATAGATAAACAGGCAAAATTATTAGCGCTCATGTCAAATTTGAAGTCTTTTAAAAATATTTCCTAAATGCTGCTTAATGTAGGGATTTTTCTTATTAGGTTTTACCAACTAACTTTGTCTTTTTTTTTGCCATGAATGACAGTACACGATTTATTTATAATGTTTTACTTATGTTATGCTACTTTTCAAGATATTAGTATTCATTCATTTAAGTTAATTAGGTTAACTAGGCAAGTTTGTTTAATTAAGCAAGACATTGGACGAAATTGCTTTGTTCTGTAGCCAGAAGAAAAATCAAAGAAAAAAAATTTGAGGGTGGATAATAATATTGGCCTTTATAATATTGTTTTTAAAACAATGTAAAAACATAAAAACTTATTTTATTCTATAGATATTCACATTGGATTGTCGCCTAAACTATGGGAACTATTAGAAGGAATGCATCAATAGAGCCGCCATTTACAGGGTAGTGCTCCTTTGAAATGAATGTGGGAGCAAGGTGCAGTGGATGACTGGCCATCTGGAGCCAGATATATATACACATATATACATATATCTTTGATTGGGAGTTTTCCTGGTGGTCAGTGTGCAAACATTTTATTCAAATGACAAAAAAATATAATTTTACATCACTTTTCTACATCAATGTATAAGTGGGCGCACGACATTGTCATCAAAGAATGTGTGTTTGTGTGCATGAAATGTATTATCCTCCCTCCCTGTTAAATTTGATTTAATCCATTTCCTAAAACACACCCCCTCTCCTGCTTTCACTTCTAAGCGATTCGTTAGTGAATGAATCTCCCTTTTGAACGACTCGTTCACTTAGCCGACAATAATACAAGTTTCTAGCACCACAACCGCAACCGTTAATAATGTCTTGAGGGGAATATTTTACAAAAAAATTTTAGTGACAAAAGTGTTTTAAGTTTGCAAGAAATAAACTTGAAGATGCAGAAAACAAAGTATCTCAACAGTGAAGTGTGAATACATTTAAATTGAGACATTTTTTAGAAATCTAATGGTAAGATATACAATAAAGTCTTAATTGTGTCAATTATTTGAATAAAATCATAAATTAATCAAGAATTATCTGTAAAAAAATTCACTTATTACTATGAAACTACAAAAAATAAAGTCTACATTTCCCACTAAGGCTGCATATTAATCTTTTCAGATGCTTATTGCCTATCAGATAAGGCAGTGTTTTTCAAAGTCATTTCTAATTGGATCGATCTATTGACAGTCAAAGCGAGGGCGGAACCAGTTCCCAAGTTGTGCGTTCCTTGAATGTTGCTGGCTATTGACACCTCTTAGAAGCAACCATTGGTTCGAATGATACGTCAATCAAAAGGGCAAAGGTCAGCGGCCATTTTCCTTTGAAAATAGTAGTATTGTTTACATTTAAAAAGACACTAAACTTCCCAACACATCATTGATTTGATTGCTCCGGCGACTAGTTTGAAATGATCGCGATGCATTCAATTGATGTTTATCGACATATAACAGGTTTTGGACTAAATATTTCACTGAATTGCATTGGCTGGACCCTTTGCAGAGTAATTACCCCCTGTTTTTTTTAAATATTATGGATCTGTGGACAGACAGGATCGACAGGAGGCATAAAATGTGAGTTTTTTCAGTTTTGTTATTATTTCTGTTGTTATCAGCAGTTTGACAAAGATGCTAATTGTTTCTGCTATGTTCATTGAGTCTTAAAATGGTTGGAATAGTTTTATTCACGAGAATATCAGCTTTCAAAAGATATATGACGTTCAGTCTTTTTGTGGGAAGCCGTTATATTTAGTAATGTTTCCCCGAAGTTTCGCTTTAAAAACGACATGTACCGCAGGTTACAAGAAGTCACCTCGATTACTAATAGTACAGTTTCCGTTGTTTGTAATAAACAAAGTAGTAAGCACTGAAAATGGATCAAAACCAAAGTTTCAAAACTAAATTTGAACTTTGGATGAACATTTATGATCCACTTCAAAAAGTTGACTATCGGTATCTGTACTATGCTATCAAATTGAATCGGAAACAAATAAGCAGATCCAACAGACTAAAAAAAAATCTTTCACAAACACATACGATTCAAAAGCATCCGTGATCTGCAGAATATGTCAGTGTTCCTCCTACCTGTGTGGGTTCCATAGGGTTTGGATATACAGCGCTGCAGGGTCTGTCCCGTGGAGAGAGGCAGTTCTCTCTTGGATGCTTGTGTTTATCCGACAACTGTGGAGATCCTGTGAAAGAGAGGAGAGGTGCGATTTCAGCAACACAACAGCATCAGCACTCGAACACACACAGACAGACCAAAATCTGCTCTCATTTCCACGCTAACCAGACAGCGCATCAAATAAAGGCCCGTCCTCGTCTTTCCCTCCCGCCGGGGTGAAAATTGTGCTTCTGGGGCGACAGACGGCTATTTCACAGGGAGAGATGGACTGCGTTTGCACTAGTGCTTTTCCATTTTAACATGGCGCCTTTAAAATGAATACCCTCCTCGTACATGATGGCGTTTGCACCATGTTTCAGAAAAGAAAAATGTCCAAACAAACCAAATGAAGTTCAAATTAGCTAGAAAAATAGAGAAAAAAAATTGACCATACATACATACATGGCATTAGTTTTAAACAAGTAATAGGACTTTTTTTTTTTAAGCACAATTTAAAAAGTCAAGTTTTTTCCGGTTTTTATAACAGAATAAGAAGAAAATATAAGTCAAATATAGCATTTTACTGAACAAACATTTATTCAATAAAACACAAGTATTCATTTTAATATATATCTAGTATGAAATAGTCTTGAGATGTAAAAAATGCCTGTTTAAGTTGGCAACACTTTATTTTGATGGTCTATTTGAGTATTAGTAGACTGTCTGCTTAATATCTGCTGATACTGCTCCTTCAACAGACATTTAACGGACTATAAGAAACTTTCAAGTACATGTCAACTTACACTAGTCTCCTTATAATCTAACTTAATAGTCTCCTTATAATCTAGGGCACAGGTGTCAAACTCAGTTCCAATAGGGCCGCAGCTCTGCACAGTTTAGTTCCAACCCTAATTAAACACACCTGATCAAACTAATTGAGTCCTTCAGGCTTGTTTGAAACCTACAGGTAAGTGTGTTGGAGCAGGGTTGGAACTAAACTGTGCAGGGCTTCGGCCCTCCAGGAATTGAGTTTGACACCCCTGATCTAAGGAGAATTAGTTGGCATGTAACTTGAATTCAACAAATGGACCATTAAAATACAGTTTGACACAACAAATGCTTTAATTTTTACCAGTATTCAGAAGGGCATAAAAAAAAATCTGAAAAAAAATCTGATACAAGTAATAAATCAAACATGAATAATGAAATTAGTTATACAGTGTACAGTATATTTACAGTGCTCACCATAAATGACCAACAAAACAATATAATAACATGCATAAATGAGTTACAGTTTTTTCTTTTATACTAGTTTTTTTTTTCCATGGGATGTTTTACAATATAATATTTTGTGTATATACTACACATTAAATTAGTCTGGGCCAAAGCCAATACTAAAACAAATAACATTTTTTTTTCTAAAAACGAAAGAGAGCACTTTAGTTCTCAAACTAAAATATGGCCTGTAGCATTGACAATAGTCTTCTTCTACATATTTTGCATATTCCAGGAGTAACTATAGCAAAAGTTGAGCCATTTAAAGGCCGCCTATGATGCAAAGTCATCTTTCTGAAGCTGTTTGGACAGAATTGTGTGTAAGTAAAGTGTGTTCGCTGTCAAATTGGAGTGATATAAACACAACATGTCTCTTATTTTAACTGTCCTGACGTTCAAATAGGATCCAAATTCCAGTGATTTTAAGGCCCAAGGCAACATGACGTAAGAGTGTGATTTTCCTCACTCACCAAATTGGTTGACAGCCACGATTTAACATGTCTCTATGTTAACGTGCACCAGCATGTTCACAGAACAGGATTTGCAAAGAAACTGCGATTAAACAATCTGTTCAACTCTGTGATCGGCTACAAAAACAGCTCTGAGCACAAAATGGGAATATTCTGAAAGCTCTAATAAATGATCTGATGAGTACTTTGAGCTGAGACACATTCTGAAGACACCAAAGACTTATCTTACATCTTGTGAAAGGGATAAATAGGAGCCCTTTAAAATAAAGCTGCACTAATAGATGCAACCATGGGCATTCTGTTGGGTGGATCCTCCAGGACCTGTTTTGAAAGCACTATCGTCCTCCTGAAGAGCAGGACAGGAGGCCATAGGTCCTCATGATAAATATCATCAGTCTAGAGATCTTCAAGCAGCGCTTTATTCTGTCTGTAACTCCACAGAAGCTTTATGGGGGTCTCGACGGGAGGCAAGAAAGGCCGCCAAGGGGAGACTATAAGATTACATAAATGTCTCCATACATATTCTGGTTTTTATGATCTGTGTCCGCAAGTAAACACATGCTGGATGGAGGCAGATAAGAGGCTGTAGAAGAGAGAGAGAGAGATGGGTCTGCTATATATCAGGCCCCACAGTAAAACAGCATTAAATGGGCCATAAACTCTACTTCACTGTAGCAGTTTATTTTTACCTTGGAAATCTGTTTATCATGGAAGGTCGGTTTTAAAGTAAAGTGAAAGTAGAAGCGAGAAAAAGCTTACAGGAAAATAATAAGCAACATTAAGTAGTGAATAAAAAAAAAACAAGAAACTATGCAAATATGGGGGAAAAAAGGAGTATAACTTATTTAATAGGGCTTTAACCGTTCAAATAAATACAATTCTAAAAGAGCACAATTAAAACTAGATGCAATTATAGGAAATAATTATGAAATATAAAAAATAAAGAAAATAAAGATCTAAAATGTTATAGTTGTGATTCATGACTTTTTTGCAATTTTGCAAAGTCTTTAACCATTAAAATAAATAGAATACAATATGAAAAGTCAAACGCAAATAAGTATTGATGTATAAAAATTACTACATAATCATGATTTTATAACAGTAAAAAAATAATAATAAAAATAATTGTAAATTGTTAGATAAAGATCCAAATACACAATCAAATTTATAAATATCACACTTAAAAATTAATATATAGTCCATATAATAATGTTAAGTTATGAATGTACACTGTAAAACCCAAAAAGTTCAGTTTTAAGTTAAACAACTAATCCTGAGTACTGTGAACTCAATCCATTTGAGTAAATGCAGAATTTGAGCTCAGTAAAACCCAATAAATGAAGAGAACTCAAACTATTTGAGAAAAGTTCTACAAACCATTTGAGTAAAAAAAAAAAAAAACGAATCTACATGAGTACTGTGAACTTACTCCATTTAGGTTGAAGTAATGAGGTATTTAATTAACTCATTACCTTCAACACTGAGTTTAAAACTATTTACAATTTAGTAGAATTAACTTTCAGTCAATTTTGAGTTACTACACTCACTTCGTTTGATAAAGTTGACTCTTGGGTTTTACAGTGTGGAAATATAAAAGCCTCAAGAATAAAAGTCTCCAATAATGGAAAAACTCTGACTTAAAACGCTTCCACACTTAGACGTTTGTTTCAGAACGTGTCTCGTTTGCCCAGTTAGCAGGATTTTCTTTGCATATGTGAAACCCATAATCACGCTCAGATCTGTGCCAAACCAATCAGTCCGAGATCGCCTGATCGAGGTGGTCTAGGCTCGACTGAAACAAACTCTGGAGCGGAACTGGGGGCTGAATTTAAACAAACAGTAAATTTAGTAATGTTCACCTTAATTACTTTAATTAAATTCAGCCGAAATAAATCCTGAGCAAAAAATTAAATGCAATGAATCTTTTTTTTTTTTGTTCTCAGTGTGCTTAAGTACAAATGATCACTCAGCTTCACTGCTTTCATTTCATTATAATTTCTGACTCTCTTTTTTCCCGCGCTTGATGGAAATGCTTGGATTAAATGGTGGGTTCATTTTTTAAGGTCTCATGCATCAAACCACAGTAGTGGTGCATTAGTGAGCACTGCAGTCTGTCTACATCAACCTTTTATATGAACAGCGGCTGGATTACACTCACCTCTGGCGCTGGACGGAGCCGAGCTGCTCACGTTGGGAGAAGCTGAATGATTGGAGCTGAGACTGGAGGTAGACGGACTGGGCTGGGAAGAGACGGAAAGCGTGACTATCATAAGAAACAGAGTCCACAGTTTTCAGCACACTCTATAATATGGAGAGCTTGTACAATAATGACTTACACTGGGATCAAAGAAACATTGTCTATAATTCACAACTACAAATCTGAGAGAAAAGACTTTACAAAGAAAAAGATCTTAAAAAAGTTATTAACCTTTAATTACTAAATTAAAAATTGCATCATTTACAAAGCAGTTATTTAAGTAGTAGTTGCTTTTGAAGATAATTTAAAATAAGTAAATGATTAATAAACTATTCAAATGAACATTTATAGACATTATTTTTCGGACATTTAGTAATATTTAATCTGTTAATAAATCATTTATAAACACAAATTTCTGCATTTTTGAGAGCTCATTCCTTATAATGTCTCATTATAAATGACAATTAAAATTCAACTATACTCTAAGCAAATAAAAGGAAATTAGTGATTCAAAAAATATGAATAATTTCAAGATACAAGAATTAAACAAATGTATTAATCCAAAAATAAATCATTGCAATCCTATATAAACAGTTTAAACATGGCTGAATAACACTGAAATATTTGATCATCTTGTTACATTGATATAGCTTAAATGAAGAGCGGGGAGATTCTGTGGAAATGTGAGGTGGTTCACCTGCATGTTAAAGACTTCATCTGAACTCTCTGAATGGCCTGTGATGTTGCTGACTTCATTAGAGGCCTGTGATGAGAGCGAGGATGAGGAGTAGCGGTTCACTGCCGGGTAACTCAGAGGACTGAATAATACACATAAAAACAACAACAACAACACTGTTAGAAAGACAGTGTACACTAAACAAGTAGCATTACATGAATGCAGAATTCTCCAAGAGATTATACAAGTTCTAAGAAGAAATGAATCATTTTTAATCCATATTTTTTGATATTATCTGCAATACTTATGATCGACTGGTCAATTAACAGCTTCAAAATCAACTAATGTTATTGAACAGCTCTGTTAATGAACAGCTTCTGTAATTTGTGACATTATGGGATGTTGATTTCTGCTCTGTCGATGTTGAAAATTCAACTCTACACATTAACAAAGTGACTTTCATTGAGATTTTTTAGTTTTAAATAACATAATGTATAATATTTAGATAAATAAGTCTGTAAAATCACAGAAAATATACGGGCAGCTTATTACAAGCTATTTGTAGCGTAATATACAACACAAGGACAGACCACATATATCTCTTAAAACTATTAAAAGTATTAATAAAAGTAACTTTTTTGAGTTTTTAAGGTTAAAAGCTGTAGAAGAAAGATCAAGGAGCCATAATGCAATTCAAAATCATAAATAAATGAGAAAAAATTTAAAAAGAATCATAAAATACAGAAAAATGCTGATTTATGGACTTTTAATAATATATTTTAACGTGTTTTGCATTAACAGTTAATTAGCATTAATTAAAATAAATTAGCTTAACATAAATTATTATGAATTTGTAATATATAATATTTTATATTTTTTCTATTGTAGGTATTATATAATTAATTATAAACTGTAGAGTTACATAAAAGTTGTACATTTAATAAAACACGTTATGCAAAAATTACAGCTTTGAAACATAAAAATGCTGATATTTTGATATTTTATAAGTAGCAATAATCAATAAAACTGGCTATTCAACAGTTTAAAAAATGTAGACATTCTCACTAAATAACAGACATTAACCTTTAGAAAAACACTGTAAACAAAGGTTTGACTTATCTTTATTATAAAATCTTTGAAGCAAATCATACATTTTTATAAACTTTATTCTGTATTGGTTCCTAGAAATGTTATTAAATATTAAATAGGATTTTAAATAGATAATCATTACAACAATAATCTTAAACAGAAATTGCTCCCACTTTAAAATAAGGTTTCATTAGGGATTTCTTTCACTAACATGAACTACATATGAACCATGTTGTACAGTATTTAATAATCATAATTCAGTGTTTACTATTTCATTATTAACATCCAAATTCATGCCTGTTAATATTGGTTAATGCACCATGAGTTGACATCAACCAAAAATAAACAACTGTATTTTCAATACCTAATGTTAATTAAAAAGAACAAATGATGTAATATAATGTATTGTTATAATATAATGTACTGTAATAAATGTATCGTTCATTGTTTGTTCACGTTAGTACATGCATTAACTAATACAACCTTATTGTAAAGTGTTAACCAGAAATTTATTAAATGCTATTACAAGTAATACTAAATTGTATTAAATAATAGTCTTATTGCCATTAAGGATAAATAAGAATAAGAATAAGAATAATAATAATTGGATTAATAAAAAATAATAATAAGTGAGGAGTCGTTGGCAGTATGAACGCAAGAGTATAACACAATACAATACAGGCGAATAGTAGCTAATCATAAAAAACTGCAGAAAAAAACATTTCTATATCCATTTACCACTTCATATTACACATATGTGAATACAACATTTGCTATTAGCCCTGCTGTTCATGAAAATCACACACCGGTGGACCTGAAGAGTATCTGACCTGCGGCGGGACACGACTCTCGCTCCTCCGTCTGGACTCATGATGTTTGGCGCAGAGTTTCGGCCGACTCGAGGACTACCGTTGGTGAAGTGGATTGGACTGGCTCGCACATAAGCCGGAAACTCCTTCAGAGCGTTGAGGGAAAAAAAAAGAAAAAAAGATGGGCAGCAGATTAAGACGTCAGCAAGAAACTGCCTGCAGTAGATCTCACATACAGTTGAAGACAAAATTATTAGCCGACCTGTGAAGTATATTTTCTTTTTTAAATATTTCTCAAATGGTGTTTACCAGAGCAAATAAATTTTCACAATAATTCCTATAATATTTTTTCTTCTGGAGAAAGTCTTATTTGTTTTATTTCGGCAAGCATAAAGGCAGTTTTCTGTTTTTTAAAACCATTTTAAGGTCAATATTATTGGCCCATTAAGCTATATTTTCTCTATTGTCTACAGAACAAACCATCATTATACACTCACTTGCCTAATTAACATAGTTGGGAATTAGTTATTAAAACTATTATGTTTAGAAATGTGTTGAAAACATCTTTCCATTAAACAGAAATTGGGGAAAAGTATACAAGGGGCTAATAATTCAGGAGGACTAACGATTCAACGGTTTACCTGAATGCCGAGGCTGGATTTCATGAGATGAAACTGGTCGACCAGTTTTTTGTGCAGTGGCCGCATGTCCTGAGGAACAAACTTCTCATGCACAGTCAAGCCAAACTCCAGTATGTGTGCCTAGAGGAGAATCCAACAGGCTTACATATGTGCAAAGAGAACGTGCGATGCATTTAACCTCAGCAATTCTCACATATGAGAAATAAATACACAATTATAAGACACAAATAGGCTAAATTAAAAAAAAAAGATGCAAAAAGAAATAGGCTTAATTATTAGTTACAAGATTTTCAATTACAAGGAATTTAGTCACATTTTTGAATTATTAAAACTCAGTTGGTCTGATATAAATCAAATGTAAATAGTCAATAATTAATTGACTTGCGATTTGTATTGTGGAAATATAAAGACTTGACAAGTGCAAACAGTTTCAAAAAATAAATAGTTACATAAAAATGTAAAAAATAGCCATAGTTATTTGTTACAAGTCTCAAGATTTGTTAGAAATAATGTATAAATTGTGAAAAAAACCTTTCAAATGTGGGAGATACCCAATTATCAGAAAAAAAAAGTCTCAGTTATAGGAAAAAATAATTAAGTTGCAAATGTGACTTATGAGAAATAGTCACAATTGAATAAGATCTCAATAACAAACAAGTCTCAAATGTAAGAAATGGTGATTATTACCAAAGAGAGTCACAATTGCAAGAGTAAAAAAGTCTAATTGGGCAGATGTTATAATGTGAGATTATGTTATAAAATATGAAGATTAAATTCATAGAAACAGTGATAGTGACAAATATTAAGAATTAAATGTAATATATATTTATATTGTATAAGTACAATAAATAATAAAACATTTATGCCTTAATATATAAACGTCTTTACATAATTTTGATCACAATAATTTAATAAGACTACAAAAATGGAATTACATAGATGTTAGACTTTATTTTGAAAAAATGCAATAAAATAAATAAATTAATTAATAAAAATAGCCAAATACATTGAAATATAAATTATAATAAAATTAATTAAATAATAAAATAGCCAGATACATCGAAAAATAAATAATAATACAAAAAATATATATAATAAAATAACCATATATACTGAAAAATAAATAATAATAAAATAGCCAGATATATTGAAATAAAAATAATAATAAAACAAATTATACAATAAAACCGCCAGATATATTAAAACATAAATAAATAAAAAAATATTGAATAATAAAATAGCCAGAAATGTTGAAACATAAATAATAACAAAACTAATTAAATAATAAAAAAGCTAGATATCTCAAAAAATAAATAAGAATAAAAAATAAGATAATAAAATGGCAAGATATATTGAAACT